AGGTTAGTTTGTATGTGTTTGTTTGTTTGTCTGTGTGTGTGTGTGTGTGTGTGTGTTTATTTGGTTGTATGTTTTGTGTGTGTATTGGTTTGCATGTTTGTAGAAAATTGTGTGTGTATGTTTGTATATGTGTATAATAATAAATAAATAAATTATAATTATAACAATTTTTATTTTCGAGATTTTAAAAATATGCAAATATACGCGAACTATTGAATTGTAATAAGTTAAATTAGTTGTTTGAAGTGTTTTTGTACTTTCAAGATATTATTGTTATTGTTATTCTTCCTCTTCTGCTTGTTCTTCTTTTTCTTTTTCTTCTTCTTATTATTACTATTATTGTTATTATTATTATTATATTTTCTGGAATGTTATCATTTCCTCATCATCGCCGTCATCATCAGTGCGTGCATTTATCTGTTCATGAAGACGAGTGGGACTGAGAAACCGGATGTGAAACCGGACGGGAAGGATAAAGATGGGAATGAAATTGACATGGCGAGGAGTGCTGATCCAGAACACGCTACTGATCATCCAGATGCATTCACTTCCGTTAGTAGTAGTAGTAGTTGTTGTTATAGATGTTGTTGCTGTTGTATTTTGTTGTTGTATAGGGAGTAGTAGTAGTTGTTGTTGTTGTTGCTGTTGTTGTTGTTGTTGTTGTTGTTATGGCTTTTTGGTTAGTTGTTAACATTCAGTTGGCGTGTTGATATGTTTTGTATCAGTAGTTGCTTAGTCAACAAAATCATAATTTAGAAGATTATTATTATTGTTATTGATATTATTGTTATTACTATTATTATTATGTTTATTACCAATATTATTATTATTATTATTATTATTATTATTATTATTATTATTATTATTATTCAACTATGACGTCATCAATCACAAAATTTTCGACATTTAAAAAAACTGACGAAATCATTATGTAACCGTCAGTTCAGTTCGGCTAACGACATCATCAACACCATCAACAACACCAACAACAACAACACCAACAACAACCACAACATCATCAACATTATAAAAGAACAACTACTACATCATCATCAGCACTATCATAAACAACAGCAACCACAAAATCATCATCAGCATCATCAAAAACATCATCAAAAACATCATCATCATCATCATCAACGTCAACAGATGACCAAGAGAGAGAACATAGTGACCAGACAGCTGGGCAAACATAAAATTATTTTCAAGATCATGTATGAATTCAAATTATAATAATAGTAATAATAATAATAAAAATAACAATTATAATAATAATAATAGTAATCATGATAATAGTAATAATAATAATCATGATAATAGTAATAATAATAATTAATTATAAAATTTATTTTTCCATTAACTCTGATAATACTATAGTTAATAAAATTATTAATTAATTTTAGGAGAGTAATTGAAAATATAAATTAATTTTAATAGAGTAATTAAATATATTTTAATATTATTTTAATTATGGTTATAATTATTATTCTCTAATCAGATGCACGGGTATGGCAGTGCTGGCCGGCGTTTTCTACGGCCTCACATTCATTCCTACAGTCTACCTCAAGAATCGCTTTTCAGATTATAGTCAGAATGGTGAGTGTGTGTTTGTGTGTTTTTGTATGTGTATATGTGTGTGTATGTGTTGTGTGCTATTAATGAGGTTTGTGTGTGTGTGTATGTGTGTGTGTGTGTGTGTGTGTGTGTGTGTGTGTGTGTGTGTGTGTGTGTGTGTGTGTGTGTGTGTGTGTGTGTGTGTGTGTGTGTGTTGTGTTTTATTAATATTATTTGTGCGTGTGTTGCCACACTGTCAAGAGAGCGATTTATTTACGATTGAAAACAATTTTTATTTAAAAATTACTCTCTCTCTCTCTCTCTCTTTCTTTCTCTCTTTCTCTTATTTATTCAATTTGGATAATTTTAAAATCGTTTTAAATTTACCATCACATGAGTGTTTACATCAACCTGACATCATCATGACGTCATCACGCGAACATCACTACGTTACATCGTCACATCATTCAAACATTACGTCACTAACATCAGGTCAGTATCACAAACCAATCACATGGTCACATCATGCAAACAAACGTCACAGCATGACGTCACGCCAACAACACCACAACAGGACTTGACTACGTATTCCCACACTACTGTGGCATCTACTGTGCGAGCACCGTCTACTTCCTGATCTACTGCGCAATTGCCAAGAACACTCCCGTCGTTTATTCCAACATTATCCTGCCCGGATTTGTAGCCGGATTGATGTGGGGGATCGCCAACATCGCCTGGTTCATCGCCAACGATTCGCTATCGGAGTCCATCAGCTTCCCCATCATAACTACGGTCAGTTGGGTTGTTGTGATTTTTTGGAATGTATCAGGTTGTCGCTATTTTGATCTTCAAACCTCACTCGTTATCAAGAGTTAATTTTTATTTTTGTCGTGTTTTTTTTTGTTATTTAGTCTTGCGAGACATGTATTTTTATGTTTTAATAAATTCGTTGATGATATTTACATCCCTGTATTTTTAAAGGCAAATGTAATGTCAAATATGACTAGGTTATGATAAAAGAAACATTTTTTTTATTCTTTCGAACAGAAAATACGAAAAAAAAAACTAAAGCAAAGACTAGACTTTAGATAGCTAAAATGTTAAAAAATTTAATTTGGAAATCTGAAAAATAAGCTAAAGTGAACTGAATGAGCTCAATCACAAACTCGTGAGAACATTTCTGTCATCGTCTGGTCTGCTGCTTCAGAATTTATATCAGGGCTTTGTTAAACAATCTTATCTTTATAAATAAATAACAAATAATTGGAAAATTGAAATAAAAAACTGTAGAGTGATTTTTAAATAAGAGTGCATCAGTGAATAAAAATTCCTCGTAAAGTTAATAGAACATAAGATGGAAAGTTTTTAAATGATGAGAGGTCGTCGTGAAGTTGACGGTGGTGACGTAGGCATTTAACATCGTTTGTTTGTTTGTTTGTTTGTTTGTTTGTTTGTTTGTTTGTTTGTTTGTTTGTTCGGCATTTGATTTGTGGTGAACTCAATCTTTTTTTCTAGTTTACAAGAGTTTAATTGTTTACATATCTTTTTATCTAACTGCTATAGTTCAATTTTTCGTTTTTTTATTAACTTTAACTTTGATTTGATTCAATTACAATTTATCAAATCAAATAATTTCTACATCTCTTTCTCTCTCTCTCTCTCTCATTAAGTTTTTTCACGTAAACACTTCACAATGCAAACTTCTAAATTTCAAAATATATCAAAGCAAGTGTCATCAGCTTCAATTGGAATTTTTATAAAGCGCAATTTTACTTATATCACTTCATCTTTAAAGTGTCATTGCATTTTTTGGCATATTTTATTATATATAGTAAAATAGTTAACGTGTAACCATGTGAATTATATTAAGATCATATTTAAATGAATTATGATTTTGTATAAATTATGATTCTAAGTAAATTAAAATTTTGTATAATTCAGATCCTAAATAAATTATGATATTGTATAATTATAATTTGAATAAATTATACTTTTGAACAAATTATAACTTTGATTAAATCATAATTTTAAATAAATTATGACCATAATTAATTTTTTAGCTCCCTGGCATAATTGGAACGATTTGGGGTTTGCTATTCAGAGAGATTAAGGTTAATAAAGAAGGCATTTCGTTGGTTTTATTTGTCAAAATTAAAATTTTTATACTACATTTATCATAAATTTAAATTTAAATAATTATAATAATGATGATAATAATAATAATAATAATATTGATAATATTAATAATAATAATGATTTAACACTTTCAAAGGGCTGGAAGAACTATCTTGTTCTCGGCATTGCAATTTCTATTGGGATCGTCGGCTCAATATTAACTGGATTGTCGAAATAGAAAAAATTTTTTTTCAAATAAAATGAAGATAAATAGACAGTTTATTAAGTAAATTAATTCTAATTTATTGTGTTTCTTTTGTTGTTGTTTTTTTAGAATTTTTCAAAAATCATTAAAAATTGTGATTATTGCATCGATGGAGACATAATTTTTTAATTTTAACATCTTGTACTGATACAACAAAGACCTTATTAACGAAATCGTAATCATGAACTTTATATTTGATTTCATCTTTTGAAATTTAACGATTGAATCATTGTTTCAGTATGTTATTAATTTATTATTTTATTCATTTAAAGTATTGTTAATTCGTTCGTTCATTCATTCGTTCGTCAATTCGTTCATTCAACAACTTATTCGTTCGTTCATTCATTCATTTATTCATTCATTCATTCATACATTCGTTTCATTCATTCATTCATTCGTTTCATTCATTCGTTCATTCGTTTCATTCATTCGTTCGTTCGTTCATTCATTCACTTATTCATTCATTTTTTTTTCGAGATCATTGATTTGTTCTTTTAATCTTTCATATTATTTAGATGGATGATTCACTTATCAATTAAGAACCGCGATAGCATGAATATGTTCTATACAAGCATGTATTTCATTATATTCCACGTTGTATAGTTGTGTAATCTTGTGGTGTGATGGTTAAGATACATGGCAGTGATGTTACAGATACTGGATTCGAACGCAAACATATCCCCGCTCGCCTTATGTGATGCTTATTATTTGAATATTACAGTAGGAAAAATGAACCACCAGAAATTAAAATTACTAGCAATGGAAAAATAATTATAATTAAAAAATAATACTGGTAATAATTCATATTTTTATTATTCAATTATGAAAGTATTATGGTAGTAACATACTATTGAATTGAACTGACATATTGGGTTCATGTCAAAGGTTATCTAATGCTAAATGTTTAATTCCTGCTCAAAATGTTTTCTGAGTATTTTAAGATAATTATTGTTATTAACATTCCACGTATATGCAACATACTACACACACACACAAACACACATAACACATTCATACATAACACACACAAACACACACACACATATATATACATCATGGGTTTTGTATGTGAATGACGCATGGTGTATTTATTTATTCTTCAATGTCATATTATGTATTTGGTTATTTGTATTGTGGCCTTATGTGACACTTAGTTTTAATTATTTGTTATTCATTTGTTTGTTCGTTCATTCGTTCACCTTCATTCATTCATTACTAATATTATTTATGTCTGTTTTTTGTTATTTTTTTAACGTTTTGCATAATAAATGATATTTATGATTATTATCTCATGAAAAGCCTTCTAAAAAAATGGCGAATAGTTATTTAGCTAGTGGTGTATCTAAATTTAAAAAACTACCCCCAACACTTCTGCCTGCATGCAAGCAACTAAGTTCTAGTTCTATATACAAATCAGTAAATTTATCAACCTATTCATTATCAAACTTGGTAGCTTGTTTGAGAAACTTTATTTATTAAAACGCTATATAAATAATGATAATAATAATAATCGTTATTAGGATGGTCTTAAGCTTGAAATAGCGCCACAATGTCCGCAATGCGAAATTACACAAAAAAAACGAAGTCTGTTGTTAACTCTATATATTGTTGTGTTATTTTTGACAGATTAATTTATATAGAATTACTCTTTTTTTAATGATTTGAATATGAAGAAAATTTTCAAATTAAAAGAAATTGTTTAAGTTTGCAGTATGATATGCGGTTGTTGTTGGTGCGTTATGAGGAGATGATGAAGATTGCGAATAATTAACTGAGATGCCATTAAAGGATCCATTGCATCGTGTGACCAATACTGACACATGAACACACGCACACACAGGCCCATACACACACATACACGTACATATACACCTGCATTTTTTGTTGCTTACATTCCCCTACAAACACTCAAACACACAATCACCAACTTACATGTACAAACAAGCACACATACACACGCACGCACGCACGCATATATACACATACATACAATCACCTACACACACGCAAACAAACACACATAGATAGAGACACATTTGCATAATAGGTTAGCAGGCCTTCCATGACAACTTTTTTCAATGATTATAAAATCAAAATGTGCAGTATGGTTTCACAGATTGGCTGGCTTATCTTTTCCGAAGATGAGAATATTTGGTATATTTTAATATTTTAAAATTTTTTAAAGTAGATTAGAGTTTCAGTTAATAATTGGGCACATTGCAAGTTTTAATTGAATTTATTTCCATGAAATTTATTTGTTTAAACTTCTTAAATTACATTTATTTTATTTTTTCCAACAAATTATTAAATGATTTTGAATATTTTGAAATTCACTTCGAAGTTAACAGATCAGATGGTCATTTAACATTTAAACGATCGAAATTTTCAACGCCAATGAGAATATGAAACAAAAGATATATTAAACAAATAACAGCATATGAAACGCCTAAATTTTATTCCAAAAAATCTCACCTACAATTACTTTTTCAAACAGTCTCCACCAAATCCTAAATGACGAACTTCATAACAGGAACAACGACGAACGCAACAGTACACGTTATGACGTCATCGTCGACGTCACCAACAGACTCCACACCTCTCGTCATCGGTTACGTGGCTGCGTTGGTGTCGACCAGATTTTTTGGTAGCAATTTTTTGCCTGTTAAAAAATTTCGATCTGGAAATGGTAGGGTTGAATTTTTTTGTTATTATATATTTGTCGTAATAATCACTATTGTTGTTGTTATCACCATCCCCTAATTCATATATTCATCCATCTACCCATCCATCCATCCATTCATTCATTCATTCGTTCGTTCGTTCGTTCGTTCATTCATTCATTCATTCATTCATTCATTCATTCATTCATTCATTCATTCATTCATTCATTCATTCATTCATTCATTCATTCATTCATTCATTCATTCATTCATTCACTCATTCATTTACTCACTCACTGACACACTCATTCATTCAATCAAATGAAGGAATATTCTTCCAGTGGGTGCTCTGCTCAGGGGTATGGTCGACAGGTGTGATGTGTTTTGCCATCAGGGGCTTTCCCACATACAGACCCCTCTCCATGATTGGTGGGTGGATCTGGTGCACGGGTTGGTGATCAAGTGATTTTGTTATATGAATAGTTTCTTTAATTTTATGCCTCTTTAATCTAATTTATCTTTCAAACAAATCCCGACACAAACATATTATCAGTTATTTGAATGGTTGCAGTAGAAATTTAATGAACTGTCCCCAGTTAAGAGTTTACAGTAAAAAAAGTACAGTACACATATGCGCGCAAAAGTTCAACAAGCTAAGCTAGTAGTTTCACTATTCAAATTGTACATGCACAGTGGTGAAACTGGTGATTGACACTTTGTGATATTTCAATTCATTACGCTGAACATTTATTTATTTATTCATCTGGAAGTAATTTACGTGAAATCGTCGTTTAGAAAATTCGCTACTTCTCTAACCGTTACTAATCCTTTGTAGGGTTTGTCGGTCATACATATGTAAGCCAAAATTACAGTTAAGGTCAGTTAACTTTCACAGAATCTCAAAATAAAATGTATTGCCTAAAAAAATTGAACAAAATTAAATCAAAACTAATAAAATCCAATGATGAAATTCAGTGATATTGAATTAAATTCATTAAAATTTATTGAAATATGCAAAAAATATTCAACATTTGTTAGATTTTCAGCTATAAACCGACAATATGTACGTAATGAATTTATAAACAATTTAAAATTTATTGATTCTTATACAACGGATCAATAAACAGATTTAATTTAACCTCTTTATAATGATATAAAACAAAATAATTAAGATTAAGGTGAAATAATAACGATAAAAAATTACTGACGGTTCCCATCATAGGCAGCATCGGAATGGGTAAGGGGTTGTTGGTTTGGGGTGCGGTCTGGCTTTTTACCGGTGGGCCACATCCAGGTGGGAAAAATGTCTCTTATATTTTATTTTCACACTTATTTCTAATATATCTCAGTAAATGCAGATGAATTAGCGTATCACACATCTTGCACGTTGTTGACGGTGATTTCTACAAACTCGGTCAGCTCAGCCATAAATAATTGACAATTTGGTTTAATGAATTCAAAGCTACTGAGACAATTTGGAAATGTAATTGAAATTTAAAATGTTAAACTAATTTTAAAAAACTTAATGAATGAATGGATGAAGATTCGGATGGTTTGGAGTGAGTGCACAAGTGCCTGATAACGTTGGGTTGAATTACGCCGGTGTTGTCCTCTGCCTTATCAGGTTCTTCATGTCTCTGCGATATTTGACAAATAAGGGTTGTTTCATTTTTATTTTATTTTATATTGTGTCGTTTCGTTTCGTATCGAATTCGTGTGGTTTCACGCTACATTGTATCGTTTTGTTTCGAATCGCATTACGAATGAATATATGTTGCCACCTAGTACCTGTTTTTATTTGCTCCTGAGAACCAGTGCAATGGAAGGGAAGAACGCGAAAGGAAGTGGAATGACGTCAGAAGTTTCAACTGTGGTTGGTTGGTTGGTTGGTTGGTTGGTTGATCTGTTGGTTGGTTGGTTGATCTGTTGGTTGGTTGGTTGGTTTCTTGGTTGGTTGGTTGACTGATTAATTAATTGATTAGTTTATTTATTAGTTGATAGGTTGGTTCATTTTCATTTTTATTATCTAATGAAGCTGATTTTTGTACTTTCATCACCAACAGTTAATAAAATGCAAAAAGTTTACAACTATTTATTTTCACTGTCATCATCACCGTCACCATTCACGACATCACCACGAACACTCAAATGAGTAAGAAAGATGATACACTCATCAAAAAACTTGGAGATCGCTCCATCCTTCTGAAGATTCTGTAAGCGCCGACAACCTCACAATTCTTTATAATTTGTGTATTTCTCATGTTTTTCCAACAACAATTCACCAACATCTCAAGCTAAACTTGTAATTATGTGTGTGTGCGTGTGTGTCTGTATGTCTGGTGTGTGTGTGGTGTGTGTGTGGTGGGTGTGTGCGTGTGTGTGAGTCTGCATGTCTGGTGTGTGTGTAGTGTTTGTGGTGGGTGTGTGCGTGTGTGTGTGTGTGAGTAATGTTTGGTGTGTGTGATATTTCCTCATTGACTCGACAGAGGCACGCTGATGGCAATTTATTCTACGGACAGTGCCTCACTCCCACTATTATCCTTAAGGATCAAAATCCGGATTAGAGCCCAAATGGTAATAAATAATAAAGTAATAAAATGAACAAACGAATGAATGAACCAATGAATGAATGAAGAGTGAATGAATGAATAAATAAATAAATATGCCACCACAATATGATCAGGACTGGATTACATCTTTCCACACTTCACTGGCATCTTCATGTCAAGCACTGCATACCTTCTCGTCTATTGTGCCCTAGCTAGGAACAATCCCATCATCTATCCCAACATTATCCTACCAGGATTTGTATCCGGATTAATGTGGGGTACAGCCTGTATTGCGTTCTTCCACGCTAATAGTTCTCTGTCCGAGTCCATCACCTTTCCTATAATCACAACGGTTTGTATCGCTGGTTTGGGTTATTATTTGTATTTTTGGCGTTTCGAGTTTTGAATTTGTTTCGTAAATGTTTAGTTTTAATTTCAAATCGCAATACTTTCTCGTAAATTTTTTTTTCAATATTTTTCGTAATCATATTTTTATGGGTTGTGTGTTTTCCTAAATTAAATATACAGCTGCCAGGCGTCATTGAATCAGTCTGGGGACTTATTCTTAAAGAAATAAAAGTTTTAAAAAATTTTTCATTTTTGTTTTCAATTTACTATTTCGTAATATTATATTAAAAATTTTAGCAAACTCTCACTTATTCAAGAATCTAGCAATGCTCTTTCATAACGAGGCTAACTGACTTTATTCTGAATTCATAAACTCGTACATACACACACAAACAAACAAACACAAACATACAAACAAACAAACAAACAACCAAACACAAAGGGCTGGAAGAACTACGCCGTTCTCACAATCGCCATTTCAATTGGAGTGCAGGCTCCATTCTTACTGGATTATCCAAATGACTGAAGAATGTAACAAATTTCTCCCAATTTCTTATTCATTATAGAATATATTTTTGTCCTCTGTATGAAATTTTAAAAATCATTTTTTTACACCTTCATTGATTTATTGTACAGCTTTTATCAAAAAAACTTCATAGTAAAATTTGTCCTAGCTTTGTTCTATTTTTCTTTCTTTTTTCTCCCACTTTCTTTCTCTCTCTCTCTCTCTCTCTCTCTCTTTCTCTCTCTATTTCTCTATCTCTTTCTCTCTCTCACACACACACGCACATTTTTCTTCAACAAGTTTATGCAGCAGAGAGCAAATAATCTCAAAACGACAAAACGAGAACAAGAGAGATCTGGTCAAATAAAAATTATTCATTAAATATTTATAATTACATTAAATAGATGTGAAGTAGAATTAAGATTTTAAATATTAAAACGAATGAAAAACGAAAGAAAGAAAAATAATTTAAAACTTTCAAATTCAGGTCAAGAAACACAACATTTAGGCACTTGTAAATATATCTCAAAGCATGTTACGAGTCACGTAACTTCTGTAACGTTACGCATAACAACGGATTACATTTTTAAGTAAAAAAACAATCAAATTTCAGGTTAACGCTGAACAAACGTTTCTCCTAATTATCATTAAATTTACATAATTAAAACGTTAATTAGCAAGAAGACGTTAAAACATTTAGTTAACTGGACAGAAAAAAGATGATTGGTTTTATTCGAAATCAGCACTTATTAATTAAAATAACATTGTAAAAAAACGGAGCAGATGTTTAAAAATGTATGTCTGGAAATAAAAGTATATATATGGTGAGATTGAGTCAGGCAGTTATGTTTTATATACGGGCACAAAACACACACACACAACACACTCACACACATACATACATAAACATAAACATACACACATACACACACACACACACACTTATACATACCAACATACACAACAAACACTCACACATACAAGCATACAAACATAATCACACCACAAAGACACACTTACACACAAATACATATAAACACATAACTTTACATAGCACAATGACCAGGATTAGATTACTATGTACTACAGAAAATAATACCATTATCTTATTTTCAATATTTTTTATAAATTCTTTTCAAATTTTTCGAAATGCTTCTTAAATAAGGTAAACTTTAATGTGTATAGACTTATAAAATTACCATTCTTACTTGTGTGTGTATGTGTGTGTTTGTGTATGTGTATGTGTGTGTGTGTGTATAGTGTTTTAATTTAAATAGACGTCACATTAACATAACGGTAAGAAAAGAATAAAATAACATTAAAACGTAGCTCACGTATGTAACAGAAAATAAGAAGACAACAGATGAAAATAATTGTAAAACATTTTCAGAGAAACATGTATCATAATAAACAAATAAAAATAATGTTTGTGTTTGTTTTGTTTTTTTCAAATGAACGAACAAAAACGGACCAAGAATAGTAAACGAGTTTTATCAAGTTCGCCAGTGTGACGGTGTACATTTGTGAACATGCAAACGTGTATGTTTGTTGTGTTTGTATGTATGTGAGTATCGGTATGTGTGTTTGAATGTATGTATGTATGAATGGATGTTTGTATGTATGTAAGTATCGGTATGTGTGTTTGAATGTATGTATGTATAAATGAATGTTTGTATGTATGTATGTTCGTTTGTTTGTTTGTTTGGATGTTCGCAGTTAGTCATATGTGAAAAAAAGTTAAATAAGAATTCAATTTCAAAGGAC